AAAAGATGAAAGCATTCCCTCAGAAATCAAGAAAGGATGCTTGCTGTCATCATTTTTATTCAGCATGATACTGGAGGTCATAGCTAATGCAACAAGGAAAGAAAAGGAAATAAGAGACATATATATATTAGAAATGAGGAAGTTATCACTATTGACAGGTTACATAAATATAATTGCAGAAAACCTTAAAATTCTACAAACCATTAAAAAGGAATTGAACAAGGTTGCCAGATACAAGGAAAATATTATAAATTGATCTCTATACAGTAAGAACATAGAAAATGAGAAACATTTTAATACATTTTAAAAATCAGATACTAGGAATAAATCCAGTGAAAAATATGCAATACCTCTACGCATAAAACTATAAAACATTCAACCTTTAAACATGAATATATATTCATGGAATGGAGGAATTCATAAGATATGGTAGTGACCCCAGATTTTCTCATGGAAAGGTGGGAGTCTATGTCACCTTCCCTTTGAGAGGGCTTATAACTGCTTCAACCAATGAAGTACAGCAGAAGTGACACTGTAACTTCAAAGGTTAGATCATAAAAGGTCATGCAGCTTTCTCCTGTTCTCTTGGAACACTGCTCCCCAGATGCTCCCTCTTAGAGCTGAGCTGCCATATTGTGAGAAGCTCAAGTCACATAGAAAGTCTTTTAATAAGTGCTCTAGTAGACAATACTTGTCCAGATGCCAACATCTGAGTGAAGAAACCTCCTGATGGTTTAAGCCTCCAGTCCCTAGTTGCCCCCAACTGAGGCCTAAGTATCATGGAATAGATAAGCCATCCCTACTGTGCTCCATCCCAAATCCTTACCAACAGAATCCATGAGCATAATAAAAAAGGTTTTTCCTTTACACTACTTAATTTGTGGTTATTTGTCATTCAACAATAAATAACCAGAACAAAAGCTGTCTTTACTAAAACCTCTCTATAGATTCAATACAATCCCAATTAAAATCTCAGCAGAAGTGGAAAAGCTGGCCCTGAGATGCATTTGGAATCACAAGGGACATAAGAGTCAAACTATCACAAAAGAACAAATTTGGAAGACCCATAATTCCTGATTTCAGAAGTTACTACAAAGCTACAGTAATTAATATAGTATGGTACTAACATAAAGCATGTAGATCTGTAGAATATAGAGTCCAGAAATAAACCTGTGTCTAGTTGATTTTCAACAAGAGTACCATGACCATTCAAAGGGAAAGAAAAGTCTTTTCAACAAACGGTGCAGGCCTGATCTTTAGAAGGGCTTGCTTACAAGATTGACCCTCAGCAGCCATCTAGAACTTGGTTTTGAAATTTTCTTTATGTGCAAAGGTTGTATAGGCTGTGCTAGCCTGATAAGACTGTTTAAAAAACAATATGATTTATGGTGAATACTTGCTTTTCTTTTGGGAGATTAGGATTTTGGAGGGCAAAATGTGCCTATATGATTTAGTCTCCAATAAAAACCCTGGACTTTGAATTTTAAACAGGTTTCCCTGGGGAGAAACAGTGTGCCCAGATTAATGCATTGTTGGAGGGAGTGCACTCAATGTGGCCCCTTCAAGGACAGCATAGGAAGCCTGCACATGGATTCCTCTAGACTCTAGTCTTTTCCTCTTTCTGATCCAGCTGTGTATCTTCACTGTGTCACTATAATAAATTTTAGGTAGGAGTATGATCACATGCTTAGTCTTATGAATTACATTGACACGTTGAATGTGTGGGTGCTCACGGGACTGCTAAAATGAGTGGGTCAGAAGTGCTAACACAAGTGGTGTCACAACCGTTTCTCATAATATGTATATTAAGAATTTACAATACTGTATTTCATACACAGCTCATCGTGATCCTTTGCACTAAAGAGATCGTCACACAAATAAATTATATGGGGAAAGCATAACTCAGAATAATAAAGGAACTTCCTCCTGAGGTAAAAAAGGCACATCCCTTCCTCTACAAGGAGAACCTAATAGAGTGCTAAAGTAAGTTTTTAAAGAAATATATCTTATTGTATAAAAATGCCTCCAAATGCTAATAGTTTTAGGTGAATATTCCCTCCTCCTATTAGTTCAATTTAAAACTACATTCTTAACAGGATAATGGCAGCAGAAATTTAAATGTAATATAATACAACTAAGTGATTTAACACTTAGGTTGTCCTGAAGATACTTTTACACTAGATTATTTCTACAACCAAAAACATGAGCTGTCCACAAATTTTTAATTATCACTACTACTGAAAAAACTTCTGGTGAAAGCACATCAATTGTGTAGGAAGTTTGCCAACATCACTCAACGCACACACACACACACACGACTAGTTATCTATACATAGTAATTTTTACAAGTGAAATCAGATGAATCTTCTCTCATCTGTGCAACTATGAGAACTATTAGAGAAGCACTATTAAAAAAATGAGAACGGGGCACATGGGTGGCCCAGTCGGTTGAGCAACTGATTTCTGCTCAGGTTATGACCTCACAGTTCGTGGGTTCGAGCCCCGCGTCAGGCTGTGCTGACAGCTCAAAGCCTGGAGCCTGCTTTGGATTCTGTGTCTCCCTCTCCCTCTGTTCCTCCCCTGCTCATTCTCTGTCTCTCAAAAATAGATAAACGTTAAAAAAAAAAAAAGAGAACTTTAGGGGTGTTTGGTGGCTCAGTCGGTTAAGTGTCAGACTTCAGCTTAGGTCATGATCTCCCGGCTTCTGAGTTCGAGCCCGTGTAGGGTCTATTCTGAGGGCTCAGAGCCTGGAGCCTGCTTGGATTCTGTCTCCCTCTCTCTGCCCCTCCCCCACTCACACTCTCTCTCAAATTAAATAAACACAATAAAAAAATTTTTTTTAAATGAGAACTTTCACAAATGACCTGCATTATCCTTTAGGGCTAATGAATTGCATTTAAGCCTCTGTTTTAAGCAAACCTTTTTTGAAAATCCTACTTTGATAGAGTAGGATACTCTATCAAACCAACAATCTCTTTCATGACCAACAATCTCTTTTAATCTAAGAGGAAAATTAATATCCCCAATCTTTCCATCTTAAAAATACAGAACTGTGAGAGCAGGATCCTGCATAACATCAATGACTGAATCATATACAAAGATAAACAGATCACTGTGATAAAGTAATAAAAGAAATGAAAAACTACGTGACATTTTTTTCAAGTTTTTTTAAAAGTTACTCTTTTGAATATTAACTTTCAGGGTTCCTCTTGTTTCTGTGTTTCTTTCTCACCTGATGCCTTATGATCCTTTGCAATTTATAAGTAGTTGATCTACAAAGTAAATTTTTCACTTTCCTTAAATAGTTTAAGGATGGGGGCAAGGGGATAAATTAAAGCAAAAATGAATAATCATATATGGTTTACATAGGTAGGTGTAAAGCCTGTACCGCAGGAACCACATGCTTTTTAGTTGGGGGATGCAAGTCAGGTTACCCTTACAACTTGTATTACTGATTTACTATATGTGGCAGTTACAAGTGTCCAGAATCCAATTTGAATATGGTTTCCAACTGTCTTGGACCACCCAAGACTTCAAAAGGTTAAAATCCTAAATCTCCAAAGACTATTCATTTTCCTCACTCCAAAGCAGTCCCTAAATTAATGGTTAATCCATGGAGGAAGTTCCCTGCTTTGAACTTGCAGTTGTACAAGGTAATTGATGCACTCTTTGTCAGAATTAAGCAAAAACAACATAACCAAAATGGTGACCTGGCTAATCATTATGCCACTGTTGAACTCTTAAGGTTTTTTAATTATGGTAACTTGTGTTCACTCTTCCAGAATCTGGTTGTATAATTCAGATGTAAGCAAAGGCAAACAAGAGTTAGACGACTTTCAAAAACTTTAATAAAGAAAAAAAAAGCCACTTCCAAAAATAAATGCCACACAAATCAAAGTTTTAAAAAAGTGGAAGATATTCAAGAAACAAAATCCTTTACTATCAAAATACACTAAATACTGAAATCTAATGATGTTGAGAGTTCAAATTCTGGGTGAATGTAGCTTATAATCATATAGGTAGTAAAGCAGTGTTTTTCATGATATGTCTGTTTCAAGACATTACTTAATAGTACTTTTTAAGCCTCTATTTTCTTAAACATCCACTTCACAATTCATTTAATTATTTTTACATTCATTTATAAAAACACATTTTCTAACAACAGGTTATTTTGTGCTTTAATAATAATGATCCATGATAAAATACTTAAGTGATTTAAATGCTTCGCTAATTACTACATCAATCACAGATTCTTGTACATTTACACAGCTACTGCAATAATCCAAAGAGCTACAACTCTTCTTAAAAATGACACCCACTCAAGTTTGGTAAGCATGCTAAATAATTAGAAATGTATTTTTTCAAGTTAAAACATTAAACTTTCTAGCTTTCTTTAAAATCTGCAAAGATAACCTGTTTATTTAAATCACTTTTTAACTGGAAATTTATAAAAACAGAGGAAAGCATCATTTTAGAATTTTCTTTATAACATCTTTAGTAAAAAATGGATGTCCTCTTTCAAACTGTGATGACACCAAATGATAAAAATTCTAGCTTTTAAAATGTTAAGAAATACAATGTCCATTTCATCTAGAGGGGCATTTTAATGAATTAAACTAATGTATTTTTCAGGTCTATACTTTCGTCAATGTGGGTGACACTGCCTTATACTCATCACAGTACTTTAGTAAATAATCCATTTAAAATGTGATCCAAGACAAACCTCAGCGTATTCTAAATTCTCTTCTATAACAAGGGACCAATGTATATCATCCTCTAGACTTTTAATACAGTAAACAGATACAAACCTAAAGAAATAGAATTTTTAAAATCAATGGCAATTAATGCTAAACACAACAGACCTCATTCCCACAATTTGGAATTAATTTTCATGCAAAATTTTATAGTTTTTATCCTTACTTATAGATAATTTATTTCTTTAAGTAATCAAGACAAATAGTAGAAAAAGCATTTTATTTATATGGAAAAAGCTACATTAATATCTGTAAAAGATGTCAATATAATATTGCCTATACAGAAAAAAAAATTCAAATGTGAATAGCAACAAATAAAAGTTATACATCTTCCTACTTAGCAGTGCAATTAATTCACATTGCAATAAAGTCAAGTATAACAAAATCAAAACAAGTGTTTCTCCATAATCAGGATACTGAGAATTACAGTGTAAAGATCATTTCAGGTTTAAGAAATCTGCACTCAATCTACAGAATACCCTAAAACAAGGGAGACAGACAGTTAATTCATTTAATTACCAGTTGTTGGGTTTTTTCGATACTGTTCACAGGAAAAAGGTAACGAGTTTAGGTACATGTACATAGAATATATTTAGTCTATACAGTAAAAAAATACAAATTATAAAGTGAGCTAACAAAGAATGAAATCTGAATACAGATTTATAAAACCGATAACATCTTAGACAACACATACAGTATTTCTCATGTAAAAACATCTAGTTTCAGCAAAAAATAATTTGGTTGCTTTTCAGATGCACTGCAGATCTTGTAAGCTGAAGATGCAGATGTCCAAGTATCTTAAAAACCATAATAAATGTCTTTCTCAATGCATACAAAATGACAAATGCTCTCATCACAGTCTTAAGGGTATTTCTGGAAGTCTGTCTTGCTTCAGAAATACATGTAAAATGGATAAAAATAAAAGATTTCATGGTACAATGAAACAGTAAACAGTGCTCAATTTACTGCTAATGTTGAAAAAAACCTAGATTTTACAGTACTCTGGTATATATGAAAATTTTTTTTGTTTTTACATTGCATATTTCTGAGTCCATTCTCTTGCATGTCTGTTGTATCTGTGGGCATACAAAAGGGATATAGTAAAAACATACAAATTGAACCTTTTAGAAGACCTATTTTATATAAAACTGTATATTCTACCATCTTATACTTAATTGCAATAATCGTTCATATGCCAATTATTGGGTCAATGTTAAACCATACATTAAATAAAACAGAAAACAAGTGATTTTTTAACTGATGGATTTCTCTACAACCAATATAAAAAAATACCTAAGTTATAAACAAAAAAATGAAGAAACCAATTTCTAACAAATCTATAAAAGCCAACCCTGAATGGGCATTAATCTGTAAACTGTAAATGAATCAATGGTACCAGCAAAATGAGGCAGCTTGAAAATTAGGTCAGGGTGGAGGCAGTTAGGGATATCTTCTCTTCTGGGGAGAAGATAAGGAATATAGTATTCAATGCTTTCCAATTATCAAATACTTTTATTTTAAATTTATTACCTAGAACTATGTATAGTTCTTTCTATCAAAAAACATGACATATCATGCAAATATAAACATGTACTATTAAATAGTAAAGGATTAAACACTATGTAGGAAGGAACAATATTTTTTATAAAAATATTTTTAAAAGATTTAAAAAAGATTTTTAAAAAATTTTAAAAGGAACAATATCTTCCATTGGAAAGATAATAAGCACAATTAAATGGACTTAAATATATTAATAATACTTATGTTTTGGCAGACTACCTAGAAATACTTCTAAGCAGAAACTAATATAAGTAAACACTTACTTTTCTTTGTCTGATTTATAGATTTGTGCAATATCTGGTACTAAGGGGTCATCGGGATTAGGATCACAAAGTAGAGAACATATGGACAATAAAACTAGATTGAAAAGAGAACATCACATTAGATAATGATCTATTTTATACAGTCACATGTATGAAAATGACTTCACTGAATACAGACAATGAACTTACAAAGAAAACAAAATAAAATAAACATATTAAATTACATTTTAGATTATCTTTGGTTAGGAGCAAGTATTTTTAATATTTAAAATTATAAAATTACCATACAATGTATATAATAAAAAATTACTAAAACTTTTGAAGTTTTATATTCTATTTGAATTTCTACTTATTTAAAAAATGCGCATCTCTAAAGTAACTATTAACAACATGTAAACTCAAGAGTTCTCTACAAAAATATTTTTAGGTAATACGTATACACCCCAAATATGGTACCTAATCAAAACATTGTTAGAACGTATCCTAACTTTAGATATTTCTTAGAGATATTTTTGTATTTTAATGAGAAAATTATCTAATGCAGAAGATCTATGTTCTAATCAATTCAAATTAAAGCAATCAAATTACAGTTAACAGTCCAAAAACCATTTCGGACTCATGTTTATGCACTTTTTTACTTTGACTTGGTGCTATAGTTTGCCTACCAAGAAGAAACATTTGTCAGATTTTTTAATGAATCTTTTATTCCATACACATTTGTATCACTCATTTAAACATAATGTGAACAGTTATCAACACATAGCTTGTATAGTATATTAAAATGTAAGTGAAAATTGAAAAAGTAGTTGTTTACTGCCATGTCAAAATACAAATTCAAACAGCTACATTTAAAAAAAAATCTAAGTATCTGAAAAAGTAAGGAACAAGGACTCTGGTTCCTCATTTGTCTGCTTCAATTGCATGCTACCACTTCTGAGGGGGTACAAGGAGTCTTTGGAACAATATTTCATCTTCACCCACCTCTATGTGCCTTTACCTTTTCCTACTCTTACAAATCCACAAGTGAATGTATAAAGCAGAGTTAATTCTTAAATGATACAGACAAGGGGTTGCTCAGGGCTAATGAGAAAACTAATATTTTATTCATCTTCCTTATCTGCCCAGTGAAATTTTATGCCTTGTATATTAAACCAATAGGGTAGATTATCTGGGCCCACATCCCTAGAAAGTTTCCATACTAAACTCATGATAAAAAGCAAAATAAACCATTTAAAATATTAAAAAGTGAAAAATGCACAAATGAGCAAAAGTATAAGCTACCCTATAAAATAACCAAGAGGGAAGTTCTTCATTCCCCACTCTTGCTGTCAAGAGCCAGGTGCCCTGATTTCACGATCATGCACACAAATCAAATGTTTTAAGATAAGGAAAAAGGTAGTAATAGTTAACATTCATTTGAGTGCTTACTATGTGCCAGATGCATAGTGACCTTATATGGTAATACTATTATAATTCCCATTTTACAGATGAGGAAACTGAGGCTATTAGAAATTCTTCTTAAAGGATAGTTTCCAGAAGCCAACCATACTAATAAATATTTATAAAAAGCTGCAAGAGTTAGGAGATAAATGCTTAACATCTGGCAGTCTGCCATTTCTTTTATATGTGTAAGTACTTAAGCACTTATGCCAAATGAATTTCATTTTGTGATACCATTCCAGGAAAAGAGTATATTAATTTGAATAACCCTTCGACAGAAAATTTTTCCTACATCTACTGCACAACAGTTACACTATGTGAGATTTTTTAAAAAGACACTAGAATCGACATGAACATTTTAAACAAATATTTTAGGTCAGAAAAGCTGCCAGTCATAATAACTAGCTGACCTGAAGGGCTACTACTTACCTAATATTTGAAATAATTATGGCTGTGGATGCTGCTTCCTATAATCCTTATCACTTTTATAAAAAATAAGTTAAACATTCAGGTAGCATTTATTTAAAAGACATTTTAAATGACCATAGATTCCTCCCCTGAATCCTTCAAGAGAAGTAAGTTTTCCTAAATGTTAAAAAAATTTTACAAAAGGGAAAACTACCAAATTACTTCAGGGGCAGATGCTTCTAACTCAAAACAATATTTTGAACAGTCAGGTTCTCTTCTGCTAGAGAAACAAGACATGAATTAAGAGGGCTGGCACAGGAAATAGTATTGGCTAATAACAAAAAGGCTTCAGATAGTCTAGGGTACATATCTGATAATTTAGCAAAGAACAAAACTATATATCTGTGAAAGATGAGAATCCACAGGGATTATGTTATCAGTCATTACAATAATGTTATTAATTATTCAAAGTTTAGACTAACATGCTAAATGTAGTGCATTATTCTAAAGAGTGAAATGTGTCATTCATTTTAAATCAGTTATCAGCCTAATCAGGTATTTCCTAGATGAAGTAAAAGATACAAAGCTTTACTCATTACATCAACAATCCCACATAATAAATGAGGCAGCTGGTCCCAAAATCTTATTTTTACTCTATCTCTGTCTCTCTCTTTAAAGCCCAAACTAAAGGGGCAAAATGTCAACAGGCTTATCCAAATTTCTAGCTCTAACATTTAAGATTTCTCTCATTTTATCATTTATATTTGCCCATCAACCCGTCCCCATAAGTTAACTGCTAAAAGCAAAAGAGTAATAGAAGAACTAGGTAAGAAAAGCAAAATCAAAGCAGGAGAAAACACAGATTATTTTTTTTTTAACTTTAGTCCCTGAATACTTCTGCTAATACTTCCTTAAATATTTAGTCCCTAAATATTTTTTCTGTCTCACTGTTATCAGCTGTTATAAATCTGATAAATGAAATTACCTTTTGATACAGTCAGAGCTGGTGACCATTGTGACCTCAGGATATCAAGACAAATACTTCCATTACTGTTTATGTTTGGATGGTAAATTTTTGTTGTGAAAGCAATCTAAAAACAAAACAAAAATGTGACAATCCATGATCTATGAACAAAGAGAACCAATTTGCTCTAGAATTTTATATGACCTTAGAGGAGAAATGTATTCAACACAAATTGAGCATCTACTTTGTGCATACATAGCTACTGGGAGTATGAAAGCAAAAAGAGTCAGTATCC